ACTGCCCAAGTGTCCATTGATAGATGAATGGATAAAGAAGATGTGATGTATATACAATGGAATATTATTCAGCCATATAAGAGAATGAAATCTTGCCATCTGCAATGACGTGGATGGAGCTAGAGAGTATAATGCTAAGCGAAATAAGTCAGTCAAAGAAAGACAAATACCACATGATCCCACCCATGTGTGGAATTTAGGAAACAAAACAAACAAGCAAAGGGAAAAAATCAGAGACAAACCAAGAAACAGACTCTTAACTATAGAGAACATACTGATGGTTACCAGAGGGAAGGGGAGATGGGTTAAATAGGTGATGGGGATTAAGGAGTACTATGATCATGATGAAAAATATAAAATAAAATAACATAATTTAAGAAACACTTTCCTACTGCCCCTGAAACTGCACTAATACATATCTGACCATGTGTGTAGATTCAGAGTTTAGAAAATACAGTCCCCGTAGCACTAGGCCCCTCACCTCTGCCAACGGGCAGCGTGCCCTTACCTCACTCTCCACACAACCGTTGGATGACCTCTTACCACTTCCCTTTCTGAACATGCAAATTATCAAGGGTAAGTGACACCTTAAATATGCTTCAGTGTACCTGGCCCACTTTACAGGTAAGGAAACAGACTCAGGAAGGTCAATATGGCCATGGTTACACAGCGGCTTTCCCTTTGAAGGCTGTTCCTGATTGTCTCCGTAAGTCACCATAATCACTACAATAGTGACTTAACCATCACTTATTCAAAGATTATCCACATTAAAAAGTGGGGCTGTACAGAAACGTGACAAGGGATCACACATTTGACTGCTGTATCCTGAGTCTTAAAAGGTCCTTGATTTCATGAGCTCCAGTTTTGCTCATGTGGTTAATGTTAAATGTATATGGCATAATAATATTTACCTAGAAGGTAGATGTCAATAAGGGCAGGACTTTTTGCCTATTTTTTTTCACTGACGTGCCCCTAGAACCTGTGCTTGCCACACAGTAGGTCCTCAAAAAAGTACCTGTTGAGTGAATACTTATTGAGCACTGCTTTAAGTACTTTATGTTCTCACAACTGCCTTTAATATAAATGCCAGTATCCTAATCTTATAGATTAAAAAACTGAGGCAGAGAGAATTAAAATAATTTACCTGAGATCACATAGCTACTAAGCGTTGGTGGCAAGATTCAAACCCAAGCAGTCTGGATCCAGAGCTTATACTTATAACTAGATAGGAACCACAGATGACAGATGTGCAAGTTATCAATTGCCATGCAACCAAGCACTCTTACAAAACAACCATTTTACTTGGCTCACAGTTTTGTTGGCCAGGAATTCAGAAAGGGCTCAGCCAGGCAGTTTGTCTCTGATTCACGTGGCCTTAGGTGGGGCGATCGAGGCTGGAGGGATCTGCTTCCGAGACAGCTTCGTCTTTCCCACATCTGGTGTCTTGGCAGGATTGACTGGAAAGCTGGGCACTGCTGGAGCCCTGTCTCTCCACATGGTTTCAAGCTGGTCCACATGAAGGTTAAGGTCATAGAGATCCCAGAACAAGATTTTAAGAAACAGGAAATGGAAACGGTCTTGACCTGGGTCTGGGAACTGACACAGGGTCACTTCCACCATATTCTACTGGTCTAAACAGACACAGAACCCGTGCTCTCAGTGGGACCCTACCTCTTACTGGGGAGTATGGTTAAGTGGAAGTCCAACCTAGATCGGAGATGGTGCCCACTAACTTCACACAAGTTTACTGATACCTCATAGCTCAGAATCACTGTGCCAGAAGGATGCATTTCACCAGTGAAGCATCGATGGGATCCACGTGTTAGAAGACTGTTTTGTGACAAGACTTCACCATTACAGAATCCAAAGAAGCATTTTCTGATCTTAACACAAATCTCTGAAACCAAACTTTAATTACTTTGATTGAGAGGAGGGGGGGTCTCTTCAGTCATTTTAATGTGCATTTTATGTTTCCAGATGCTCTATCCTACTTTTAGGAGGAAACGTTTCTCATTATCATAAAATTTACATGCTCATACATTTCATGAAAGACTTATTCTTTCTAGGTGATAATAAACAATTCAGTAATTTGGAGGAAAAACGTCACAGAAATAATGGTGAGAGGGTGCTACTACAGAAATCTCCAGAAGAGAGAAAGTGTGATTAGGTAGAAAGAACAAAATTCAGTTCTGCTCCTAATTCAACCATCTTAAGATGTCTGCTCAGCCTCTCGGAACCCAAGCATAACGCTTTGTGAGATAAAAGACTTTTGTGGACAGAATCCTCCAGTGTGGCACAAAACTTATCTTGTTTCTAGTCCTAATTCTGCCAAATGGACCGTAAACCCAGACAAAAGGCATTCACCTCTTTGGATGTGACGATGATGATGATACTGGTAAAGAGAACTTCTGATCACCATTGTGTGTGACCCCATATTTCCCAAACTCTCCTGCAGCTAAGAGACGGCCATGTAATTATTTCTAACCAGCAGACCATGAACACAGGCAACAGGCACAGACCAAGGCAGGTGAGAACCCAGGCCTACCTAAATTCAAAGCCCAAATTTTTAACTTCTTCCCAATATGGCTTCCTTCATTTCTTTATCTCTGTAAGTAGGAGTTTACTTTAATTGCTCTATAAGGCCCTTTCAAGGTCTAAAATATTTTGATATTATAGCTTTTGTGAATAAGTGTGGAATTCTGAAATTGGTGTTCAATGCATCAGAGGTTTACATTGACAACAGGCCTAAGAGTAATTGGATTTGTATTGATTAAAAAGAAATCACACGTAATTGTTTTCCCAACACATCCATGTTCATCGAGCTTGGGATTTTTCTTTGCTGTTTGTTTGATTGTTTAATTGATGATTATTAAGCACTCTTAGGTTCTATAGATTCCAAGTCATCAACGAGCTTGAATTGAAGGAATCAGATGCGAATGATTCAGATTTGTTTCATTCTGGTTCAAAAGTCACTGTTCCTTGTAGACACTTCCTAAAGATTCAAACCCCAAATTCATGTGAATGATGTGAGAATATCCCAACCCTTGGTTACTATTAAAATGCACAGATTTGTTTCCTGGTAGTGTTGTTTGTTAATCAACTTGTTTGAATTTTGGATTGTTTAGGAAGTCTGTGAGTACTGTCTTGAAAAACTCTGAGTTTTAACTACACTATCTCAAAAGGAGAGAACTCCAGTGAGGCTGGGAACTCATAAACATCAGGCCATAAATGAGATCAGGAAGGAAGAAAGTAGGATTAATTACAGTTCTACACCTGGGAGTAGTCAACTCCCCTCCCTCATGTTCAGAACATCCCAAAGGCAAGTGTTTACCTGCAATAAAAATAACCACAAACACACACACACACACACACACACACACACACACACACACACACACATACCACACCAGTGATAACAAGGACTCTTCCTCTAAAAATATTCCATAAACAGAAAAACCAGGGCAGCCAGGATGAGTGTGGATGTAGACAGCACTCCACATGCTGGCATTAGAAGTTCCAAACCAGAATGTCCAGATTCTTGCCCACCGCCTTAAAAGAAAAACCCAACAAGCAACCATCCTAGCGATCCCAGAGTCCCCCTGAGGCTTCTTGCAGCCTCATTCTTACCCATGAATGAATGGGAACCACCATGCCTACAGCCTGCCAGAAAAAGATCAAGATACATTTTTAAAATGTGGTAACAGACAACATGGAGATAGTATCCCCTATTCCCCCACCAAAAAAAACCCCTGAACCCCATCTTCAAAGACAAAGGCAAAGTATTTATTTATATCCATAAAACAAGAATGGGATGTTACATAAAAGGAATATCCCAAGAACATAAAAACAGTAGAGGAAATCCCTCAAAACTCAGAACAAAGTAATAAGTAGAGAAAATCTAGAAGGGAAGCATCTACTCATATCTATGCTGACAAGTAAAAAGGCAAGTGTCTAGAAAGAATACATACCTGACAGTGAACTATTTGCCTCTGGGGAGAGGGACTGGATGAATTACCTATGGATAATTCATCTTTCATGTTATACATTCCTGTAGTATTTTGATAAGCATTTATTAATTTGAAATAAAAATATAATCCTTGCTCTAACTCATTCTCCTCAAACAACTGCCAAGAGACCACTGCCACACAGACCTCTCAACAAAACACGGAATATGATGACCCTCTGCGAATATACTCCTATTTCTGTCCGTCAGCTGGTCTTTCTGAGGACTCCATTATGCTGAATTAACGCATCAGGGCGGAGCTTCTCGAAATAGGTTTTGCCCGCATACCCAGAATTCCTCAAGATGAGGCTCTGGAGGCTGCATCTTCATAAGCCTCTCTGGTAATTCCGTGCACACCAAACTTGTGTGAACCACTGCCTCGGAGCCCAGTTCGGTCTGAGACGACTGCCAGGACTGTGCCGGTGGGGCACTGCCCTCCCTCCTCAGGAAGACGGCGGCCTCCCTGCTTGACACCTGCCAAAGCTCCAGACGGCATTTCTGGCGCACAGTTGCTTGACAGCGTCACCACTGTCAAGATTAATGGTTGCTTGACAGTGTCACCAAATCTAGACTTGCGGACCCTGAACTCTAAAGGTACTGGGGGAATGAGGGATGCTCAAACATGCACCATTGCGGATTTTCCAGACGAAGAAAGAGTACAGTGAGAGCACAAATACGATGTTCTGGGACAGTTTCAACTCGAGGTAACCCAAGGTCTTAACCCCGTGGCTGGACGGCTAATTCACCAACTTCCCTTCTCAAGATCAGCATCATCGCCCGACATTCCAGTAGAAACAAAACAGGCCCCCAAAGCCAACCTAGCCTGGAGTCCAAGCTCTTTAGATGCTGAGCTTTTGTCTGCTCCTGAATAAATTCAATAAAGTGCAGTAACCATTATAATAAATGTAGATGTCACTAATTACAACACTAGATTTTAAGTGCAACACTAGTGTCTCAAGTGGCCTGTAAAACTGAGTAAAATCACAGCCAATTCAAATTTAATTAAAACTATCAGTTTAATTTAGTTTGCTTTTACAATAAAAACTACACTAACCCATTAACTGCATTCTGAATCTCCCATTACGCCAAACAACCAGCAGCTTGAGGGCCTCCACTTTGGTGAATGGTGCAATGCATTCATTTACCTTGTTATCCAGCGAAGTTTCAGTTGTTCTAGATCCAGTAAACGACCAATTTTTGTCTTTGAAAATGAGGCTCTTAGATTCATTCAGGTAATTCACCGTGTGGGTAGAAGAGGCTTTTCTCCAGCTTCTTGTGCTTTTGTAAATTCATCCTCAAGGCACCTTCTGGGGACTTGATCATGGTATCCGATCTCCAGGTGAACTTCCAGTGGCCAAGAAGGGGTCCTTGGAAACCGAATGAAAGAGCTCGGAGACTCTGGGCAATCATGACCTGCCCCTAGTCCTGCTTCCACACACTGAGTAGCCTTAGACAAACTTTCTCCCTTTCCAGAACCTCCGTTTCCTCTTGTTGGAGGAGATCAGAGCAGATTGGTGCTTCCAAAGACTCGACTTTCACGATCTCTGTCGCATCCAGGCATTACCTGTTAGCACCTGCAATTCATATATACTGAGTACAATAGGTTTCCGAGGTACCAGCTGCTTCAGCCTCATCCTGAACAGTAATATTTATGAACTCATGTGGTTTCATGTACTGGTTGTACACTTTTTTTCCAACAGAATTAAAGTAAACATAAAACAACTAAAATTATTTAAAATGTTTAGCTAACATTGGGACATCTGGGTGGCTCAGTCGGTTGGGCGTCCGACTTCGGCTCAGGTCATGATCTCACGGTCTGTGAGTTCGAGCCCCGCCTCAGGCTCTGTGCTGACAGCTCAGAGCCTGGAGCCTGCTTCAGATTCTATGTCTCCCTCTATCTCTCTGCCCCTCCCCTGCTCATACTCTGTCTCTCTCTGTCTCAAAAATAAACAAGAACATTAAAAAAAATTTTTTTTACTGTTGAGCTAACATGATCCTACATACCCCAATGGATTTTGTATCACATTGGGAGAATGTTAGCCTCCCTGACCTCTAAGATTCCCTTCCTGCTCCAGGGATTTGCAAGTCTATGAACAAGAATTTTATCACTTGACTCAGGTGAGCAAATGAACACGCACGCAAACGTACTGCCTACAGGGCTTGTCTGCTTCAGAGCAGAGAGGGTAGTGTCTGTTGAGAGAGAAGCGCTGATCAGAAACAAAATTCAGAAGGTCATACATTTCAGTTTAGACGGAGAGAAAGACTTCCAGTAGTTGAGCAAATTCACAACAAACCGTACAGTTCAGCTGAGGGTTGAGGAAAGAAAGGTAAACCCTGGAGGAAGGAAGAACTAAGGTATGAAGGGAAAGTAGTTCTGTGAGAGGCTTTGCAATCTTTTCATGGCATAGAAGACAGCAACCTGGGGCTCAGAGGAACATCTGTTGGGGCCTGAATGGAGAGTCCCGCAGGTGCACTCCACTCTGGGTCCTCCTGGCTCAAGGATGCCTCTTCCGGTGATGAAAGCGTAATGAGAAAACCCACGTGCAAATGAGGCAAGGGATCGCGGGAGAAGAATCCACATGTTACCTGGCTGGGTCTCCCTCATGGCGAGATCTGGGAAGGGATATGCCACCAAGGACGAGGTCATTAAGAGAAGAATTTGAGATTTATGTGGAAGGGTTGACTGCAGTTGGAGTTTCGTAAGGAATTCAGAGAACTGGGCTGTGACTTCTCCTGTTGTGATAATTCAGCCAGGGTTGGGATAGTCAGGTACCACAGATCCATTCTGAGTCCCTGCAGCGCTGCGTGCATAGAAAGGGAAATGCTCACTGTCATGGTGGCCTGAAGAGGAGAAGAGCAAAGCAGAGCATCACCCAGGATGTGGCTGAGCTAGGACACGGAGTCAACAGAAACCTATTGAGAGAGTGAATATACAGCAACCGATGGCCAGACTGTATGTGACAAGAGAGCTCTGACCCACAAGCTCTGCAGCAGCCAGACCAGGAAGCCAAACCACAAACTGCAACTATCAATCCAAAACATTCAGGGCTTGGTCAACAACACCCAGCTTCCCTAATTTTTTCTCCTTCTCCAACTCAGGACCAACTTCAGAAAGCCACATATGTTCTGGAAACCAATCACATAGGCTGCCCGACTTCCAGCCACCCCCAGCTTCCCCATAAGAACAGCCTCCAAGAAGGGCATACTTGAAACGTCCCTTGTTTTCGCTATACAACATCCCTTCTCCCTTGCCTGCCTGGGAGCCTCTGCCCAACACTAGTTTGGGCTTCCGCTTGTTCTCATTTGGATGGTCACTGTTTTATTTCTACTGTTATCTGAAACTGCCTAAAATTCTGAGCAGGGCCCACATCCATCTCAAAGTCCACTGGCTTAAGTAGGAGATACATCACTTGCCTTTGGTGATCTATCTGCACATAATTTTTAGGTTGTCCTTTCACTCATGACATACAACATAACACATACACTTGTGTGTGTCACACACACTACCAGAAGACTTGGCTTGAATCATTTATGTATTCAACTGAATTATTCATGTCCTCATTTCAAGCTTGTTAAAGGCTCCCACCCAAATTTACCCTGTGTGTGTTAAGCCTATACTGGCGCAATTGTTTCGATTTATGCGTCACTCAGGGCCGAAACCATGGAGGCAAGCCCTTACCAAAAACATCTGAGGATACTGCAGCTATCTGAAACTGAATGACTGTGTTTATGCTGGACTCAACATATAAACGATTTTCTGAGACCAAGGGTCAGCAAACTATGACTGTGTGTTTGGCCCACTGCCTGTTTTGTAAATAAAGTTTTATTGGCACACAGCCACGCCTTTTCATTTACCTATTATCTATGGCCGTTTTTACCCTATAATGGCAGAGGTGAGTAGCTGCAACAAAGATGATAAGGCCCACACCCAGATCCACCCTTTTCTGCCCTAATCTGTGCCTAGGAGACCAAGCAGACTGCAACTCCCAGATCCCCTTTCCTGCCAGCATCCACTTGGGTTTGATCAATGGGAAGTAGATCAGAGGGTGGAAGGAGAGGGGGGCCAGAGTATTTCTTCCCTGCTTTGCCAAATCTACAATGGTACCTGTCTTCCTACTATCACAGCTCCTTCCAGATGGCTTCCCCATCTATACTGCCAGTTTTCACCGGGTTCCCATAATGTTATATACATCCTAGGGGTTGAGAGAGCTTCTTACTATGGCTAGTCAGTAATGACCTCACTCACCATCCCTTGTCCATTTTTGTAACACTGCCCATATTTCAGTTGTTTTGTCCCTCCATTTGAATCATCTGGGAGCAACCCTGCCCATATCTAGGTTAATAACGTCCCACCAACTGAACCCTCTGAAACTCTATTTGAACCAAGTTTCTTGCTGGGACCCTGACCAATACAGCCCTTGTCTGTACTTCAGTAACTCACTTAGTTAATCAACTAGCCTAACCCACTCACTCATGACATAAGGTCAAAACACATTCACCCAATATATGCGTGAACACACAGCATTATATCAGAGAACAGGCATTTAAAAGCTGACATTTATATTCAAAAAAATATTTTTTAATCAGCCTTGCTCACTCCAATTCTGGTAGTGTACTTTCAGGAGAAGCAGCTCTTTCCATGAACAATCAGAGTTTATGTAAGGCCATCCATCCATATGAGCAGATGAACATCATTATAAGCCCGCTCTCAAGATTGCAATGTTCCCAAACATTATGCTATGCAGTCAACAGTTACAATGAGTCAGGAGCTCACTGCTCACCAGTAAGTGGCACTGGCCTTTTTGTTCTCTTCTGAGTCAATCTCTTTATTGTTTCACTCCTTTGGTAGAGATTGTTTTAATATGTCCCATTTCTGAGCAAATTCTCTCAGCTCATCTTCAAAATTCTGAAATTCCACTTGGGTTCCCACTGGGCTGTGTTTGTTTATAAGGTCACGAAAGGTTTCTTTAAGCTAAATCAAGCTGGGTAGCATTGCTGTGCCTGAAGTTTTCTGTAAGCAATATCTGTAGCAAGACGAAATGGGTTTTAAATCATTTGTAAGAGACTGAGTTCCTTGTCCAGGCCAACCCTCAGGACATTTCTTGCCTGTTTTTTTTTGTTTTGTTTTGTTTTGTTTTGTTTTGTTTTGTTGTTTTTTTTTTTTTTATGTTGAATGACATAATGGATGTGAAAGTTCTTTGTGAACCATAAAGACCTTTGTAATGTAGGGGATTATGACGATGATCTCAGAGTTTGGGAACATCCTGTCTCCTCGGGTTTATTTTATTCCCCATTTTTCAGGGGTCATCAGATTTCTAAAGGAGACCAGAACTCTTTTCCAAGATTTCCTTTTACATTTGCAATAGAGTAGAACCTAATTAATAATACAATTATTCACTTATTTACAAAATATTTATTGGATACTTTCTATGTACTAAGCATTGGCCAGGATGCTGGGGATAAAAGAGCCAATGACATAGTTCCTGTCCTTCAGGAACTTAACTTTTATTTGGTTCTCACTCCATGCCAGGCACAGTGCTAAATACTTCACTCACATTATCTCAATTAGTATTTATAACTATGCTTAGTTAATTACACTATCCACATTTTGCACTTAACACATAATAGCAGAAACAATGATGTCAATGATGAACATTTATTGAGTGCTTACTGTGTCAGATGATGACCTAAATGCTTTACAAGCATCTCAGTTAATCCTCAAAATCCCCATAAGAGTATTACATTGTTCCTATTTCCCAACTAACGACTAACATTTATTGACCACTTAATATTGGCAAGTGTGACCCTAAGCACTTTATGTGAATTATATCATTTAATTCTTTCAAGAACATCATGAAGGAGATACTACTATTATCCAAATGCTTAAAGAACATGCCCATGTTCGTATGGCTGGAGCTGGTGGAGTTGACATTCTAACTCAGCTCTTTAGAAAGCCCGTGACCTTAACCATGACGCTAAACTGGCTCTCAAGAACACATTATTCCCAGAATAACTGACTCTCAGTTGACAAAAAGATGTCAAGGTATACATCACAGCCAACATTGAAGGAAGATCGTTGAGAAATCTGAAAGCAGATGTTGTTTTTATTCACCTTGTAGTCTTGTTGCATGATAGCTTCCAAATTTCAAAAAAAGACTTCAATGTATCTTAATTTACTTTGTATTTGCACTGTCAGTAAATAGGCCTCTAAAAAACGACGGGCAGAGAAACACAAAGGGCTTAAAACCTTGAATTCTCCTGAACTCACTGCTGGTACCAATGCTTTCTAGGTAAAGCCTTATTCTGTAATATTTCAGATTCACCTGAGATTTCCTCCTGAGTATTTCTAGAGAGGGGTACAAGAAATGTGGAAATTTTGTCAAATATAATGATATTCTGAAAACTATTCCTCAAAACACACGTGTGTGCACTGCCCCCCCAACACACACACACACACACACACACACACACACACACACACACGCAAGAATTTCTTTTGTAACATTCAGCAAAATCCCTTGCATTGAGCAAGAACTCAATACATGGCTGTAGAACAGAATGGAATGAAATAGAA